AATTTGAGTGAACTTCACAAGGAATGGACTGAGGCTGGGGTCAAGGCATCAAGAGCCACCACACACAGACGTGTCAAGGAATTTGGCTACAGTTGTCGTATTCCTCTTGTTAAGCCACTCCTGAACCACAAACAACGTCAGAGGCGTCTTACCTGGGCTAAGGAGAAGAACTGGACTGTTGCCCAGTGGTCCAAAGTCCTCTTTTCAGATGAGAGCAAGTTTTGTATTTCATTTGGAAACCAAGGTCCTAGAGTCTGGAGGAAGGGTGGAGAAGCTCATAGCCCAAGTTGCTTGAAGTCCAGTGTTAAGTTTCCACAGTCTGTGATGATTTGGGGTGCAATGTCATCTGCTGGTGTTGGTCCATTGTGTTTTTTGAAAACCAAAGTCACTGCACCCGTTTACCAAGAAATTTTGGAGCACTTCATGCTTCCTTCTGCTGACCAGCTTTTTGAAGATGCTGATTTCATTTTCCAGCAGGATTTGGCACCTGCCCACACTGCCAAAAGCACCAAAAGTTGGTTAAATGACCATGGTGTTGGTGTGCTTGACTGGCCAGCAAACTCACCAGACCTGAACCCCATAGAGAATCTATGGGGTATTGTCAAGAGGAAAATGAGAAACAAGAGACCAAAAAATGCAGATGAGCTGAAGGCCACTGTCAAAGAAACCTGGGCTTCCATACCACCTCAGCAGTGCCACAAACTGATCACCTCCACGCCACGCCGAATTGAGGCAGTAATTAAAGAAAAATGCAGAGGAACTGAAGGCCACTGTCAAAGAAACCTGGGCTTCCATACCACCTCAGCAGTGCCACAAACTGATCACCTCCATGCCACGCCGAATTGAGGCAGTAATTAAAGCAAAAGGAGCCCCTACCAAGTATTGAGTACATGTACAGTAAATGAACATACTTTCCAGAAGGCCAACAATTCACTAAAAATGTTCTTATGAAGTGGTTTTATGAAGTATTGTAATTTGTTGAGATAGTGAATTGGTGGGTTTTTGTTAAATGTGAGCCAAAATCATCACAATTAAAAGAACCAAAGACTTAAACTACTTCAGTCTGTGTGCATTGAATTTATTTAATACACGAGTTTCACAATTTGAGTTGAATTACTGAAATAAATGAACTTTTCCACGACATTCTAATTTATTGAGATGCACCTGTATATGATACATCAGGGCTGTCCAACCTCAATTAAACACACCTGAAGCAGCTAATCAAGCTGTTATAGGCATACTACAAACTTCCCAGCAGGTGTGTTGAGGCAAGCTGGAGCTAAACTCTGCAGGACACCGGCCCTCCAGGACCGAGTTTGGGCACCCCTGCTCTACATAGTGTCATGATACCTGAAATAATGAGGGTTGGGGATTGAAAATCAATTCCAATTCCAGAATCGAATACTTAAGGTCAGGAATCGGATACTTGTTGTAAAATTAAGATTTCAATTCCACCTATCAATTTCTGTGTGTGCATCTTTTGTTTAGCTGGCAAAGAGGAGCTGTTAAAAATGTATTTGTCTTTGAATCGTTCATTCAAGTGATTCATTCAGTAATGAAACCAGTAAATCTTGAGTGAGTCATTGAATCGTTCATTCAAAAATTCCATCAGATTTTGTTTATAATTTAATTAAATAAATAATTTATAATTTATGCATTTAGCAGACGCTTTTATCCAAAGCGACTTACAGGCTATACATTTTTTGTTTGTTTGTTTAGTTGTCTAATATTTTTTTCTTCAGAATTGTGAGAGAACTACAACCTCTATTAAAAAAACAACAACAAAAAAAACGAATCCCAGAATTTATCCAGTGATTTTTCCAGAATCGTACAGCTCTATTTTGCACACAGACTGCTCTTAATCGAGTCAATTTTTATGCAGCCGGCTGATTTTTGTTCATGGTATTCAGCAGCAATCAAATGTTTTGCAAAAAGAGACACAGAATAAATATGCTTGATATCTAAATGTTTGACCACATTGTAATCGAAGCTGGGAATTGATAAGCAGAACCGGAATCAGATTAGGAATTGATCAAATTCAAGCGATACCCAGCCCTACACATAACTATTGCTCAGTGTGAAGCTGCTAAATGTGATCCGGAGCGTCTGTGAAATCAGAAAGCGCTGGATGAATGACTGCAGCCTGTAATGCAGGCCTCACCAAGAACCTTCTCAGCATTAATGATGTTTCTGTATTTCTGCAGTAGTGAGGGCTTGAGCATTTGTACTATTCATACTCCTCAGCGCTCTGGATCTGGTCACACTCGCTGAATATCTCAATAGAGGTCACTAAGCTGCAGCTGACATGTGTGCCAGTGTTTTCAGCTCAGCAGTGCTGAAATCGTGATCAGGATTAAGAAACATGTAATTGTGCGGTGGTGTGGATAAAAGAGAGGCAGTCGCTCCGTCACGTCACACACACAGGTAAACAGAAAGAAACGGGGGAAAGGAAAAGTCAGTTAAGCACTACTTCAGCAAAACATCAGTTTCTTAAAGCACTTCAGTAAAGTGTGATCTTAAAAGCTGTCTGTTCAGTAGGGTTTGTGATACTTGCGTTGCTTTCAGAAACACTTATGACTCTAGATGGAGTCGTGATGTTTGAGTGGATTTGGGATCAGAAAGACTAAGTAATGCTGATTTGATTGAGTTCTCTGAAAAGAGGTTCATATACAGTAGTGATCTGTTAACCTTTCCTGAAGCTGTCGTTTTATTGAGATGATCAGATTGGGCTGACAGATTAATGTGACCGATTAGACTCTGATTATTGTAGCAGGAGTGTAATAAATGAATCGGATACTTGTTGTAAAATTAAGATTTCAATTCCACCTATCAATTTCTGTGTGTGCATCTTTTGTTTAGCTGGCAAAGAGGAGCTGTTAAAAATGTATTTGTCTTTGAATCGTTCATTCAAGTGATTCATTCAGTAATGAAACCAGTAAATCTTGAGTGAGTCATTGAATCGTTCATTCAAAAATTCCATCAGATTTTGTTTATAATTTAATTAAATAAATAATTTATAATTTATGCATTTAGCAGACGCTTTTATCCAAAGCGACTTACAGGCTATACATTTTTTGTTTGTTTGTTTAGTTGTCTAATATTTTTTTCTTCAGAATTGTGAGAGAACTACAACCTCTATTAAAAAAACAACAACAAAAAAAACGAATCCCAGAATTTATCCAGTGATTTTTCCAGAATCGTACAGCTCTATTTTGCACACAGACTGCTCTTAATCGAGTCAATTTTTATGCAGCCGGCTGATTTTTGTTCATGGTATTCAGCAGCAATCAAATGTTTTGCAAAAAGAGACACAGAATAAATATGCTTGATATCTAAATGTTTGACCACATTGTAATCGAAGCTGGGAATTGATAAGCAGAACCGGAATCAGATTAGGAATTGATCAAATTCAAGCGATACCCAGCCCTACACATAACTATTGCTCAGTGTGAAGCTGCTAAATGTGATCCGGAGCGTCTGTGAAATCAGAAAGCGCTGGATGAATGACTGCAGCCTGTAATGCAGGCCTCACCAAGAACCTTCTCAGCATTAATGATGTTTCTGTATTTCTGCAGTAGTGAGGGCTTGAGCATTTGTACTATTCATACTCCTCAGCGCTCTGGATCTGGTCACACTCGCTGAATATCTCAATAGAGGTCACTAAGCTGCAGCTGACATGTGTGCCAGTGTTTTCAGCTCAGCAGTGCTGAAATCGTGATCAGGATTAAGAAACATGTAATTGTGCGGTGGTGTGGATAAAAGAGAGGCAGTCGCTCCGTCACGTCACACACACAGGTAAACAGAAAGAAACGGGGGAAAGGAAAAGTCAGTTAAGCACTACTTCAGCAAAACATCAGTTTCTTAAAGCACTTCAGTAAAGTGTGATCTTAAAAGCTGTCTGTTCAGTAGGGTTTGTGATACTTGCGTTGCTTTCAGAAACACTTATGACTCTAGATGGAGTCGTGATGTTTGAGTGGATTTGGGATCAGAAAGACTAAGTAATGCTGATTTGATTGAGTTCTCTGAAAAGAGGTTCATATACAGTAGTGATCTGTTAACCTTTCCTGAAGCTGTCGTTTTATTGAGATGATCAGATTGGGCTGACAGATTAATGTGACCGATTAGACTCTGATTATTGTAGCAGGAGTGTAATAAATGAGCCTGTTAGGAAATGAACAAAGAATAACTTTGATATGAAATGTGATGCATGTTGGGTCATATTAATTAGTGGTTTGATAGATGAGGCATGCACACAACACACACAGCTGTGTAATGGTGGCTGTAATAACTAATTTTATTCACATTTATTCAGACATGCATTCAATAATAAAAACAACAGGTTCAGTATAACCGAATGAATGTGTAATGTAGTGCTCCTCTCTTGATTGATTTCAGTGAGCTGTTCTGTTTCTTCTGATGATCATTCCTGTTGATTTGCTGCTGCAACTAGTAGTAAAGAGGAAGAGATGATCTGTCAGAACACATTAAAGAGCCACAAAACCACAGATTGTTTTTTATTTCATGACAGATTTGAAAGCTGCAGAAACTGTTTCACGCTGAAAGTAACTATTCTTTATTGTGATTACTGGACGGGAGGTGCTACAAATCTTTCCACACTTCTCTAGTAAGTTTGGTCAGTTTGTGAATCGTTGCGATCGTTCTGAGTCCAAGGGTGTGAACAGCTCCACGCAGAATGTCACGTGTTGTCCTCTCAAAACTACAGTAATCACGACATGGCATGAATGCAGCATAAGAACCACTGACTAGATGATCTCTGTTCATCAAAACCTGTTTCCATGCTTATCCATGCACAGATAGACTCTGACACTAGCAAACGCACCAGCAAAGAAGCACTAATTAAATATCTCCTCTTCAGTTACTGATTTCGTCTCATGCAGAAAATGAGTTTAAATAATTTTTACTTGTTATTATGTTTTACCGAATGTTTTGAAAGTGTTGTGACTGAAGTGATCTTCAGCTGACCTGTGCTCTGATGTTTGTCTGTTATAGAATGACAGATGTGTGACCAGTCGACATCTGAGCTGACTCTGCCTGCTCTGCTCATCAACTGAGGTAACACTCACACAGAGACACACACTCACACTCACTCACTCACACTCTCACACACTCACACACACGCTCTCACACACACACACACACACACAGCTCTGGGCTGTGTTTCCCGATAACACTGTCTCTTAGCATGCTACAAAGACTCTAAAGGTATGTCTTAACTAAAGGTGTACCATTTCTAGGCGTGATCCCCGAACTATACCTTAGGAGGTTGTTTAAGGTATACCTCCTTACGTGCGACGTTACCAGGTGCTGTCCATGCCAGTGGTGCTGAATCGGTTGATATCAATGGCATCCAACAATAGATTATTCATTCTATGCGCGCTAGGGGTGGGGGAAAAATCTGATTCTTAGATGCATTACGATGTAGATGTGGATGATTCTGAATTGATTCACAAATGAGACGTTACCAGGTGCTGTCCATGCCAGTGGTGCTGAATCGGTTGATATCAATGGCATCCAACAATAGATTATTCATTCTATACGCGCTAGGGGTGGGGGAAAAATCTGATTCTTAGATGCATTACGATGTAGATGTGGATGATTCTGAATTGATTCACAAATGTCAAAAATTGATTTTCTATTTCTGAATGTTAATTGATAACATGATGTTGACGGAACGCAAAAGGCAGAACTCTAACCCCTTATTTACATTGCATGCATCTGCGGTGCGTTACGGCTCCGACAAGGTTTTGTTTTGTCCTCTACGCGTTGCCAGCTCACACCAGAAGCATTAAGGCCTTTTCACATGGGATGCGGCAAGCGGTGGAATCACCGCGCAGCTGCTGCTTTCTCTCGTAGTGAAAGCGTTTTGTGCAGTTGAAGGAGGTGCTTCAGAAACGTGCTGTGGTGAGGCTGGTGTAAACAAGCACTGACAAAAGGGGTAACAGATGCATGATGGCAGGGCATGAAATCAGACCGGCACCGTCTGCATTAAAAGCTAGCGTTGAAGGGGGAAAGACCCTGGACAAGAGCCACACTATATGCAAGTTGTGTCAAGCCAAACTAAAATATTTTGGAAACACAACAAATATGAGAAACCATATTACAGAATATGCTCAAGTCTGTATTAATTTACTACAAGTTTGCTGCTACAGGCACATGTTTCATCTCCCGTTGGTTCTTTGTAACCGTGCTGTTGACTTGCCAAATCACTTCCATTTGTTTAATTAATAAAAGATCAGGAAAGTGAATTCATTATGGGTCATTCCAGATACTTTGCTTTAATAGTCAGACAGTGAGAAAAAAGAAAGTCTGTATTATAACAAAAAATGCATCGATAATGGTTTTATCATCGCATCACAGCCCTCTGAATCGTATCGTGAGGTGCCTAGAGATTCCCACCCCCAATGCACAGGTCGCTTCACTGCGTTACGTGAGAAAGGGGTGTTCTTTCTAAAAGAAGTGTTGATTTTAAATAAAGTCACGGAAGTCTTTCCTGTTAGAATGCAATGAACTTGCATGGAACTTTCACTTTCGCTTTGCAACATACATCACGTCAGGGAAGAAAACCAAGAAAGAAAAATATATGCCTAGAGCACCTCCCAGTGGTCACCACATAAAATACAAGGGAAAAAACTTACATGAGACACTGCTTAATAATTTAACAGCTTTTAACAGAAGAGAGAGAGAGAAAAAAACACCTTGGACCTACACAAGTCCAACAGAAAAACATTGTGGTAAGAGTGCTTTCCAACAAGTGTGGGATCTTAAAAAAAACAATCCAAATTGCAAACTAAATCTAACCCAGGATATTTTTATATAATTTTGAAATGTGCGCCAACCCGCAACCTCATGGCCAAACGTAGCCCTTATCACTAACTGACGGTATGCCTTCACTGGCCTTTGAATGGGTCATTTATATTATCATAACATATTTTCCATAGTGTCTTCATCTACTCCACTACCAGGGTTGATTGTCCAGCAGACACATCACATATTGGTATAAATCACTCATTTCTGTTATTGGATGACCTACTCAATAAAAACGCAACAAGAGAAACATAATCAGCAGCTACTATTGTGGAGAGAAAGAAAGAGGAGAGCCGCCTGCAGCTGAATTTGTCTTGATAAAATCGAACCAACAAGATTTTAAAGCTGCTGAATTTGCTGCCGTGCCAACATCGTTTTAGTGCACATATACACAATATGGCTCCACAGACGGCGCTGTCTTTGATTTTGCCCAACTATAATATTCTTATAGAATGAGATGTAAAGAACTGTGAACTGTCAAAAGTGATAAGGTATAGCTAAGAGTGGTCCAGACCAACCTTACGAAAGTATGACTTACAGAAGGTATACTTGACTAAGAATGTTTCGGGAAACACGTATTAACGATAAGATACAGGTTAAGGTACAACTTAAGAATGACGTAGCTTTAAGAAGGTTTCGGGAAACGCAGCCCTGGCACCTCAGTAGCAACACTAAATCTGAACATTAGTACTGTGTTGGGTGTGATGGAGTCATTAATTACTGAAATCTCAGTATCATAGGGAGCATCTCTCTTGCTTCACGGAGCTGTGGTGAGCGGCGCACTAATAGCGTGAGCATTTATTTTCTCAGAAAGTATTCAGGTTCCTTCATTTCTTCACATTCTGTTATTGTTGCAGCCTTATTAATCAGTCTACACTCCATACTCCATCATGACAGCACAAAAACCAGAACCAGAAAAAGAAATGTGAAATAGACCATTTTCTCTGACACTTGAAATTTAGCACAGGTGCATCCCATTTTTCTCTGGATCATCTTTGAGATGCTTCTACACTTCAATTGCAGTTTTAACTTGATCCTGGCTATCTGAAGGTGGAAGACAGATTGGGCAGAGAAGAAGCCTCTCTCTAAATAGGGCTGTTTTACATGTTTGGTACATTTTTAGCATCAATATACCTACATATGGACATATAATCTGCAACTGATTGTTCTTAATTGAAGTGAAGGTTTGGTAGGGTTTTTCTTAATGTGTAGATTTGTGTTTTTCAAGTTTTGTTTTGATTAATTGCAAGGGTCTTCAGAAACATGTCTGGTTGGTGTCTGTCTGGTGTACATGACCTTAAACCAGCTATACTATACTGGCCTAGTCGCCCAGACAACCCACTGATGAGTTGATTTAGAAAATACACATGTTCCTAATAAGGCCATAACTGTAATCTGCAGGATTTCTGTCTGTCTGTCTCAGGTAGTGGTGATGGCGACAGATAGAGGTATAGTGGAAGACTGGCTCTCCGAATTCAAGGTGAGTCAAGCAGCATCTGCTGTTAAAGGGTTAGTTCACCCCAAAATGAAAATTATATTATTAATTACTCGCCCTCATGTCGTTCCCAACCCGTAAGACATTCGTTCATCTTTGGAACTCAAATTAAGATATTTTGGATGAATTCTGAGAGTTCTCTGACAGCGTGGAACCACATGAGGGTGAGTAATTAATGACAGAATTTTTATTTTTGGGTGAACTAACCCTGTAATATGCAATAGGCTATGAGCCTTTTATGAATCCACTGTAGGGGGAAAACAACTTCTGTACACTTCCATACACTGGAGAAAAACATGGGTTATCGTATGTTTACTTCAAATTTCTTAAGAGAGAATTATTATTTTTTCCTACTTATGCCCAAAATAGGGCTGAGTGCGCATAACTGAGCCCTAAATACATGTAATAAATACAGGCCCTCGCGTAGATTCCACATATGCATCACAGAAGTAACAGAACTCATGCTCCAGGAAATCCCTAATATGGGCAAAGGCATCGCTATCGCTGTAACTGATCTTTTAAGATGCTGCGCTGCTTCAGTCTATTGCTGGCTCACAAAATAGAATGCAGCTGTTGTTGCGCTGCACCGCTATTTGCTGGAAAAAGTAGTTAGCTACTGGAAAAGCTACATTGTTTAAAAAGTAGCTGAGCTACTGTCAAGCTCCTGAAAAATGTAGTTACGCTAGTAGCGTCGTTACTTGTAGCTAGCTTCTCCTCAACACTGGTGTGTTTCAAGCACTTCTTTCTTTATTTAAGAGCACAGAACCTTGAGCCTAATACAGTTTATTCAAGAGTTATTGAACAGTTCTTTAAATTAGTTTGCTATTAACACACTTTTTGAAATGATGCTCTGTACGGGCCTGTGCTCTCACAGGCATTGTCTGAAACGCAGCTGTCTGGTTACGGTGGAGTCCTCGATCAGAAGAATACACTGGTGCCAGCCCTCTACAGCGTCATCCAGGACCCTGACAGTGAGGTGAGAAGAACGACCGGCGGTACAGAGATAAACAACAGTGAAGCCTCTGTGTGCCTCATCATCTGTGTGGTCTGTGTTCACAGCTGCTGGAGCCGGTATGCCATCAGCTGTTTGAGCTGTACCGCAGCTCAGAGGACTGTCTGCGCCGCTTCACGCTGCAGTTCCTGCCCGAGCTGCTGTGGGTTTACCTGCGCAGAGACGGACACAGCAGTGGCTGCATCGAGGCTCTTCTGCTGGGCATTTACAACCTGGTGTGTATTCAGCCGCTGGAGCCATGCTATACACATACGCACGCCATCAATATGTACATTTAAATATGTGCAAAATATAAATACATTCAAAATACAATAACAAACACAAGCACTACATAACAAAACCATACAAAATACTGTACAGTATCCAGTCATCCATATCTGATGTTGGTTAAACAGCAGATGGGAGAATAACTTCTTGTATTGCTCTTTTGAGCTGCATGTTTGAATGAGTCTATCACTCAACATGCACTGTTTAATGGAGACGGTGAGTGGAGCAATTGATGATGGAGGACAACTTCCTTACAATCCTTCCTTCTCTAGCTCGTCTAAAGTGGGAAAAGAGCACCCAGGACAGAACTAGCCTTCCTAATAAATTACTTTTTGTCTCTCCCTTCACCCAATATGTGTCAGCTTATATAAATAACAGATGCTCTCACAGATGCTAAAACATCTTTAACAATACCCAGCACACACACCGGAGGATCTCTGCAAATGGATAAGAATTCTTGTACAAATAGAGTCCCATGTGTGTGATTATCTCAGTATTGACCCCTGAATGTTTACAGGGGCTGTTGAATGTTTTGGTGTTTGTATATGAAGGTGGTTACAGTTACATTCACACCTAATTGCCAAAAATCTTCATGAACCTTTTCAGGCTGGTTTCTGCCCACTACACAGTAGTGAAGCTGCTTTATTAAAGCTGTAATTTACCTTCTTTTATCAGCAGACTCAGTAGCCGTTATAACTGGTCCGTTGTGACTTTAGTGAAAACTTGGATGCTGTTTCTCATGAAATACACCTCTCTCCTTTATCCCCATTGGCATTCCAGCCAGTGTGTTCCATTGGCTGGAGTCCTGTGTTAGGGTTAGGCAGCAGTTTATTTTAATTAACAAGCACAAATCCCAAATTGTTTCCAGAGGTGTTCCCCAAGGCTCGGTTCTTGGGCCACTTCTCTTTTTAATCTGTATGCTACACATACAGTAGGTGAGATTATTCAGGAGCATGTTTTACGTTTCCATCCATATGTAGACGATGCACAAATCTACATTACCTCCCGTTCACTTTATGCCATATTCTTCCATAAAAAGCTGTATTCATAGTCTGAAGAAATGGATGCAGCTAACTTTTTGAAACTAAATCCTGACAAATCTAAATTTTGTTAGTTGGCCCCAAACATCTCATATCTACTTTGGTTAGGCCCTCACCAACTTTTTTGTCACACTCAAAATTTGGGAGTGACATTTGACTCTTTGCTCAGTTTTATATCCCATATTAACCAGGTCATGTCCTCATTTTGTCAACTCCATGTTTCTTGTCTTTGGTCCTCCCTCAGTTGTAAAGATACTGAAACAATTATTCATGTCTTCATTACTTCCCAATCAGATTATCGCAGTTCCCTCTAAATTGGATTACCCAATACATTACTTCAATGTTTACAGCTTGTGCTCTCACACAAACCAGTAAGCCCATATGACATTGGCCCCCTGTTAAGTACTACACAGTTGAAAACTCTACTTTTGGTCTTCAAAGCACGCCATGGTCTTGTGCCGTCATGTCTAATGGAGTTGCTTCATTCATACACCCCTGTAAGTACCCTCCAATCTGCAGCTGTAGAGGGAAGATGACTGCATTATACAACACTGAATTGATAGGCAAACTGCAGTGGCTCCACAGTTAAGCGCACCAGGGGTTGAAGCTGTTGATCAAATGTGATGTTAACGCTGCTGGCCTTTATTGCTTGCGATCCCTGGGGTCAGCAGGATTAGGTACAGGCACTGCACAAGAAATCGTCCACAAGACCGCTGCCTTTCAATAGTGAAGATAGAGAAGAGAAGACGATCAGACCCCTGAGAGATGATAGATGGAGAGTCAGAGGTTAGGGGAGAACTGGGTGAATGATAAAAACTGGAGAGTAGCTTTGAAAGGGAGCCCTGACAATACTGTGAGAGTGATGGAGGCAATAGATGAAAGCATTACATGACTGCTGTTGGTGGATCCAGCATTAAATCTCTTACATTCAGCTGATTTGCCTGTCTCTGGTTACTCATGGCTCAGTGATCTCCAGATGGTGTGGCACGTCCAGATGTTATGTCCATGCCTCTTATGCACCGCTCAGCTACAACTTTTGTTTCATCTTTTATAGTAGTAATTTACTTCCCTTATTTTCCCGCTGCACTCTTGTTTTCTCCTCCTTATCTCCTAAAATAAAACTCTTACTCTTCATTTAAAAGTGCTTTAAATTTTGGGGTAAATTTAAGGGAGGTGTTATTACTGAATGTGAAGCAGGTGGCTGGGAAAGAGAAATGACCAACCAGGAGTAAATTCTGATGATTCATGTGTTCATATCTGGGTACTGGGCACTCAGAATCTCCAGAACTAGCCAAAGATCTCAGATGACGTTTCTATGACCAGAAACTGTTTAGGAATGTAATGTGAAAGCATATCAAATGAATGCGTGTTGCTGTAGAGTGTTCAGGTCTGAGATCATGTTTTTTTTAGATTTTATTTTTTGTTGTTTTTGCCTTTAATTTGATAGGACAGTGTACAGAGGACAGGAAGCAAAGTGGGAGAGAGAGGGGGATGAGTTCGGGAAAGGTCTGCGAGCCCGGGCTCGAACTTGCGAGAATGCAAAAACGTTGCATTCGAATGTTAGGTGTGCATCAGGCAGCCTTATCAGTGGCACACGAGATGTGATGATGATGATGTAAGTGTCATTGCATTATGTTTTTCTTAGCTTATCCAGCTGAAGCCACTAGATGCTGCGCTGCTGTGTTGTTCATTCAAAATATTGCGGAAAAAGAGAATATCAATGCAGAGAAGACGTTGACGTTGTTTACGTCAAAACTGAAACCAAGCCGTTCACATAGAATGCATATTTTGCACATTTTCTAGAGGGACATTTATCACTGTTGCACTCGTGTCTCGGACAAGAGAGCCACATGTTTAGAAAGCCATGTAAAATTAATGTAAGTTCAACTCTTAAAAAAAATCATGTCTCGAGACTTAATATTTTTTTTTATATTTATCCCACTGCATCTCATGTTTTTAAAGGGTTAGTTTACCCAAAAATGAAAATTAGGCTGTGTTTTACCCCCGAGGCATCCTAGGTGTATATGGCTTTCTTCTTTCAGATGAATCCTGTCGGAGTTATATTAAAATTGTCCTGGCTATTCCAAGCTCTATCATTGCAGTCAGCGGGTGTTGCATTGCTTCAGTCCAAAAGAAGTGAAATAAAAAGCGCCCATCCATAAAAAAAAGTTTCTCACACTGCTGCGGGGGCCTCCTGTAGCAAATCGATGCGTTTTTGTAAGAAAAATATCCATATTCAAAACATAATAATCACTTTAATGTAGCTTGTGCTCACTGTTGTTAACCGAAGCAGTTCCGGGCTGATGATGTATGAGGTCAGCGCTGCGCCCTTTTTTTTTAATGGATGGTCGCTTTTTATTTAACTTCTTTTGGACTGAAGCACTGCAACACCCGCTGACTGCAATGATAGAGCTTGGAATAGCCAGGACCATTTTTAATATAACTCCGACTGGATTCGTCTGAAAGTCGTATACACCTAGGATGCCTCGGGGGCGAGTAAAACAGCCTAATTTTCATTTTTGCGTGAACTAACCCTTAAAACAAAAAAAGTACTCTGTGTGATTGGCTTTCATCCCTTTGTTTTAAACTATGCATATATGCTGTAGTTTTGTTAATAATTGTTTAAGCAACTTAATTATATTTGGTTTATAAACATTATGCAATTTTTTTCACAGATAGTCATGTTATTTTATTGTTTTATAAAACGTGAATTAGTAATTTTGCTCAATGCGCCCTCTTGTGGCCTCAGGAGAGAAGCCAAAAGCTTTTTCCACCCTAACTGAAATTATGCCTTTTAAATTCAAATATAATTTGAATATTGATAATATTTAAGTGCACAATTTGAATTTAGTTTTTCAGCCATTTTGACAACCCTACTGCCCACGAGACTATCAGCGGCGTGAGAGCATGTTTTTGTGTCTCTGTAGTGTGTCGTGTGTCTGCCAACATGAGAGACCTTACCTATATCAAACTCTAAACTGGAAACGTTCTTTCTAGACTAATCATTGTTTGAAATGGCTTAGGGGTGCTGATATGATTGAAATGTAAACCCTGTTGCTTCTATGCATCATTTAACTGCAGTATGCAGTATGTAATATCTAGCAAATCTTAACCAAGTAAACAGTTAACTGTATTTTTGCCCAGCTCTGTGTTAAATGTTTGATGCATACAGCACATCCTGCTTTACTCTCATACACACATGCACTCTTATAAGGTGATGTATACTTCAGTGGGTATTAAAAGTCTACACACCCCTGTTATATTGGTAGCTTTAAAAAAAAAAAGGAAAAATGCAAGAGTTGGTAATTTAATGTAATATTGATACCAACAAATTTAATGTAAAAAACGAATAAAAGCTTTTAAGGAAAAAAAACTACTCAAGACAATCTTATTGTTTCACACCCGTTATTGTTTATTTTGCAGGAAATCGTGGATAAAGATGGAAACAGCAAGCTGTTATCGTTCCTGATCCCGTCTCTGTCCAAGCCATCCATATATCATGAGGTAAAGAACAGCTCACATTTACACTTAAACCTCAGAACTGAAGGATGCTACTCTCGTCATACCACAGTCTACTGTATTGTATTACTGTATTACATGCTACATTTTACTGCAAAATTGCAAATGGCCGACACACTGTAAAACACAAGTTTCATTTGGGGCAGCCTTACATCATGTACATTTAAAAAGCAGTATTTATGAGTACTGTGAACTTATTTCCTTTGAGCCCGCTAAAGAAAAGCGTGGCAGCACATGAAACACTAGCAGATCTCCTGCATATTAACCCTGTGCTGTGACAGTTTGAATTCACATAGCATTTCTTCTAAGTGCAATGAATTTTCAGTCATGTCTGTGTGAAATGAGCTTGTTTCTTTGAATAAACTGGACAGACATAGGAATACTGGGTATCATTCATCTCTGTTTGGCCAAGGAGTCTAAGAATTCTCATGAGTTTAAAGGCATTCGGTCACATTAATTAGTGCATTCGTTATCATGAACTAACGGTGAGCAAGATCTGTATATAGCATCACTTAATATTTGTTAATGTTAACTTTTACAGGTTTCTTTACATTCATAGCTTGAATTACAACTATGCACTAACAAACTAACAATGAAGATCTCTTGACAACATCGGTTTATGTTCGTCTATACATTTGCATTTCTTAATATTCATGATGCTCTATGGATTACTTACCATGAACTTAAAAAGAGCACTTAAGACAGAGAGTGTCACTTTATTAAAGTTAAACAAGCTTTTTTTGTGAAGCTCACTGTAAAATGGAAACCATCTGAACATCAGATAATGTATTTCTAATGTTTGCGGGCTCCTCACGAACATCTTCAGTGAAGTATTTGTCATGCATTATTGATGGCAAACCAATTATTGAGGAAATGAAAAAAGCCAAATGATTGCTGACAAATAGAAAGGCTCCTGGAGTAAGGCAGGTCCCCAATCAGTGACCATTGCCAATAAACTTGCTCCATCTATGAATGCAATAATACACATTTGCAGAAACCGACAGTACAGTGAGGTGACGTTATACTCTTCCGCCACTCAACATCAGAAGAAAACTAGAAGTGCAAACATAATTGACTCTGATCCATTCAATTATTGAACAGTAATGCACACTGGCTAGTAATGCGGTCACGGTGAGAAGTGCTGTGGTCCTTACATTATTTCTCAATTACTCAATAGCATGTGGTCAATTATGTACCACTTATGTAATATATGCACGTCGTCTATATTGTGTAACATGTATGTTGCATGAATTAAACATCAGGATCTGGAACAATAATGGAAATGTCAAAGTGCATTTTCTCAGTTTGACAGGTCAGTGTTGTATTTGCCAGCTTCAGAAATATTCCAGTAAACACTGCTGATCAGGACTGCAGATTTTAAGTAGTGGAGAAAACCGTTTTAAAGGGCCCGAGTCAAACAAACAGCCTGGAAAGAGACGTGAGCGTTTGGGAAGAAACCAGAGGTTCTTGCTGCATTCTGCTGAATTAGGCGAGATCTGTTGATAGAGCACCAGAGCACAGTGTGTGTTGCCTTTCCCAGACTGATACAGCAGAAAACTATAAGAACGTGATCTGGAGGAACAGAACTCAGGAACAAACTCCTGTCGCAGAAATCCTGGTCATACCAGTGTAACAAATACAATGCCAAGAGTGACAAATAAAAATAGAGCAGCTCATGCAGTCAAACTGAGATATAAGGACTGTTTGCAATGCAGCCTTATTAACTGAAATGAATTGTTTAAGTCCTTTTCCATAGAAGTTCTCTGAAGCAGAAGTGCAGATGCTATATGTTAGCACTGTAGCTGCCTTTCTCATCACTGTGTAGTGGCATCTTTGCCTTTGTTTTGGAGAGGATTATAATTGGTTGATGGAACCAGAGCATGGTTGAGTGAGAAGTCATGCTGCACAAGTGTAGTCATTATTGTGAAGTAAACTCTCCCCATTAGCCACCGGACAGCGCTGTTTGCACTGGGTGTTTACTGTAAGCAGCAAAATGACTTCATGCACTTCACACACCAGAGCCAGCTGCATAAACCGAACTAGTCTTTAGTGAACACCGAAAGAAATTAAGTCCTAAGTGGGTAAGTGGGTGCCGGTCCAGTTAAGGGTTTGAAAACAAAGAAAGGTATCTTAAAATCAGTTATATATCGGATAAGAAGCCAATGAAGAGACATTGAAATCATGGTAATATGTTCACACTTACATACACCCTACAGAAGTCAAGCAGCAAAATTTTGCACCATTTGAAGTTGTGAAATAGATGGTTGATTTAACCCACGGAAATTAAGTCGTAAGGTAAGAGATTGCAGAACGGATGCCCCTGGCATATCAGCCATCGGTGATCTTTATGTAATGCCTGCTTTAGCAGGTGCTGGAGATCCTCAGCAGGACACATGTTAGAGATTTCTCTCTGCTAATGAGCGATGTGTTTGAGAGCGAGACGGGTGAGGTGTGCGGTGCTGAGCTGAGCTGCTCCAGAAACAGAGATGCGAGCCACTGCTGTATAGATGTGCTAACAGTAGCATCTGTGTGGTGTCCCTAACTTCTGTTTAGTGTCACTGTGTGTGTGTGTGTGTGTGTGTGTATGTTCAGCCGTCCAGTCTGGGCTCCATGGCTTTGACTGAGGGCGCTCTCTGTCAGCACGACCTGATCAGAGTGATCTACAGCGGCCTGCACCCGCAGAGAGAGACCTTCACTGCCCAGAACAGGTCATCGTCTTTCTCTCAGTTAAATGTCCAAAGGAAGGATCTGTGAAATGAGTCCTCAGACTGCTGTGAATGCAGGTGACGTCTGTGGTTGTGTGTGTCTGCAGGTTTGAGGTGCTGTGTTTCCTGATGCTGTGCTATAACTCGCTGGTGGTCTACATGCCCCGCTCATCACACCGGGCCGTCTGCAGGATGAGCTCGCGGTGAGATCTCACCTCCGCTCTCTGAACCCAGAGCCATTACAAGCAGGCAATGCCAAGTTTATTTGTAGAGCTCAATTTAAAACAGCTTAGGCTACGTTCACACTGCAAGCCTTAGTGCTCAATTCCGATTTTTGCTCAGGTCTGATTTTTTGTATAGCTGTTCGCATTGATTTTCAGATTTCCAGTGTGAACAGATCATGGCTCTGAACTGACCCGCATGCGCAAAAGAACAACATGAACAGGGTTGCCAGGTTTTCACAACAAAATCTGCCCAATTGCTTCTCAAAACTAGTCCAATTGCGTTTCAGGGGGTAAATATCGCGTTAGTGGAGTCGCTTCAACCCACAGTGTTGAAAAACAACCCGCAGCAACAGTGGAAAAAGTAGCCCAATTCTGTGGGAAAACTTGGCAACACTTGCGCAGTGCGCTGTCATATGGAAGTAAACACAGAGGACATAAAGTAAGCGATTATGTGTTTGTTTATAGTGTGATCTGCCACAGAAGCCAGTGAAATTATGCACAGGCAATATGAAAAAGAGTTTTTGTAACCAGTAAATGATACGTTTTCTTGTTTTGCACGTTTATAGAGTTGTCACTGTAATACTTATGAGTTCTGAGACATCACACTTCCACTGATTACTTTTTGCAGCTGTCTTGATAAAAGTCACATGGATTCCGATGTGACTGTTCACACTGCGGTGGTGTTGCAAAACATCTGACCTGTATCGGATTTAGGACCACATATAGAAGTGGCACAAATCGGAATTGAAAAGATCAGATTCCATGCAGTTTGTGCTGTTCACACTGCCATGAGAAAAACAGATCTGAGTCGCATGTGAGCAAAACAATTTGGGCAGCATCCATCTGCAGTGTGAACGTAGCCTTAGAATTGACCGAAGTGCTTTACATCGATAAAAATATAACAGCATTCAAAACAAGAGATTATATTAATCTCTATAGTACCTTAAAAGCCAAAGAAAACAGATGAGTTTTTAGCGAAGATTTAACATCAGCAAGTGATCGAGCAGTTCTAACACACAATGGAAGGCTATTCCACAGTTTAGGTGCAGAAAAAGCCCGATCTCCTCTCAGTTTTAGTCTTGCCCTAGGAACCGTCAGCAGGCTCTGATGGACGAAAGGCTAGACAAGTAAGTGTGTGCCAGTCCGTTTAAGGATTTTAAAACAAATAGTGGAATCTTAAAATCAATTCTAAAACGGATAAGAAGCCAATGAAGAGACATTGAAATCCTGGTGATATGTTCTCACTTACGCTCACCCAACAGAAGTGAAGCGGCAGAATTTGAAGTAGAGAAACATATTTGATGTATGCATGCAGAGAGTGAGAGCACTGGTGTGTGTGTGTGTGTGCGTGTGCGTGTGATGTGCAGGCTGTGCGTGAGCGGCTTTCCCCGGCAGCAGCTGAAGGCCTGGACCGCTCCCTGCATGCGTGTGCTGCTGGAGCCCCAGTTCATGGTGCAGATGCTGGCTGCTGTCTATCACGCCATGTGAGTGTGAACACGGCCAAGACATCTCCTTACAAACTCACCTGAGCGTTGTTAAAGTCCTCCACAGTAACGCTTGTACTTGCATACCATTAAAAAATACTGGACTACAGTCAGAATGTGGTGATCATTGAGAATATTGGGAACTGGAAATTACAAAAACTCAAAAATAGGGAAATATCCAAAATACAAATGTATTTCAGTGAATTACAGTTATGAGAATGCTTTTGTTTTTTTACATTAGAAAGAATATAACTGTTGTATTGATCTTCATGCAAGCCTGTAGTGACTAGTTCTAAGTGCATTTGCATGATTGTTTTTACATTTCACGGGTTAGGCTGTTAGTATTGTGTGATCAGGTTTGGCCGTGTGTGTGCAGATATAATGGCGAGTGGGATGCTGGGAGAGAGGCTTTGGATGACATTCTGTACAGAGCTCAGCTGGAGCTGTTTTCAGAGCCGCTGCTGGTACGATTCAGACTCCTCTCCTGTCTGTGGATGATTCTCTCTGCCGCTCGTCACGCTGTTTCACCGCTCTCTGCCTCTGTGCTGTTTAGCTGGGCAATGCGATGAAGAGCTCTCTGCCCGGCAGTGCTCCGGATGGATCTCAGGGGAGGAAGGTCCTGCAGGTGGAGGTCACTCCCAGCATCAGACGGATCTCCCGCTGCACCATCACAGCCGCATCCATCCGCAGACTGCGCTGGAAGAGAGAGGGTGAGGTGAACGCATCGCACACACTAGCTCCAGCAGACCTCACAAACACTGGACCACTGCTGCACCTTTCTCCTTCATGCCATTAGACCGGGTGTCCAAACCTGTTCCTCTGCAGAGTTCAGCTGCAACCCTAATCAAGCACACCTGAAGCAGCAACTCAAGCTCTTCAGACTCACTAGAAACGTCCAGGCTGGTGTGCTGGAGCTGGACTCTGCAGATCTTCAGGATCAGTACTGGACCGCCCAGCATTAGGCCATAAAGATGTCATTATCATACATATCTGATATGTATTTTTTCCTGAGGTTCACTTAAATTGTGGGGGTATTTTGTGTCAAACATAGTCATAATTAAAGGGTTAGTTGACCCCAAAAATAAAAATTCTGTCATTAATTACTCACCCTCATGTCGTTCCAAACCCGTAAGACCTTCATTCATCTTCGGAGCACAAATTAAGATATTTTTGATGAAATCCAAGAGCTCTCTGACCCTCCATAGACAGCAATGCAACTGAAATGTTCCCAGGTCCAGAAACGTAGCAAGGACATCGGTAAAACAGTCCATGTGACATCAGTGGTGCAGCTTCAATTTTGCAAAGCTACGAGAATACTTTTTGAGTGCAGAGAAAACAAAAACAACAAGTTATTCAACAATTCTTCTCAGTTACGTCTTCCGTCATTTTGGAGAGTACCCCAAAAAGTAATCAACGTAATCAGCATTGTTTACACTCAGGGGGAAAGCGTGCAGATGCATTGTGATACTCTCTAAAATGGCGGAAGACGTAACTCGGGGGAGAAGAATTGTTGAATAAAGTCGTTATTATTGTTTTCTTTGCACACAAAAAGTATTCTCATAGCTTCGCAAAAATGAAGTTGAGCCACTGATGTCGCATGGATTGTTTAACTGATGTCCTTGCTATGTTTCTGGACCTGGGAACATTACAGTTGTGTTGCTGTCTATGCAGCGTTTGAGAGCTCTCAGAATTCATCAAAAATATCTTAACTTGTGTTTTGAAGATGAACGAAGGTCTTACAGGTTTGGAACGGCATGAGGATAAGTAATTAATGACATAATTTTCATTTTGGGGTGAACGATCCCTTTAAGTAATTTTTTTGTCATATTTAAAATTTCCCACATGTTTCCTACTTGTTTTGAGCACTTGTGCTTTGAAGACTTACAGTGCTTTCAGATCTTAAGTACACCCCATGAAAAGTTTTGTACTTTTGTAAATGTGGGCGTATCAATACTGAAACTTTCATAGCCGCGTGAACTAGGGGTGCTGCAGGGCCGGGTCTAAGATTTTCATTGTGCCCCTCGATCATCCCCAAGATACGAGAGTTTTGTGATTAATTACATATTAAATGACCAGAAATATAGTACGGTTGTATTTTCATCCCTACATCACCCCCTCACTGACAGAATTTCATGTGAAATGTTTTCATGCAATATTACCATATTTTATATTCCGACTTGTAAAAACCATTCACGTACTCCTCCTTTTTATGAGCCATTTTCTGAAGCGTTCTCACTTCTCTAGACAGCCACTGTTAATCACATAATTATAGCTCTTTAATTGCACACTAATCTCTAGTCAAACGCACTTAAACCACTGTAGCCTAATCTAATCTATTAACTACACAAATCATAACGTTTTAGGCAAGTACCGTATTATGTCATAAAATATTTTAAAGACTGAATTTGTATTTAACCTGATAACATGTTTAATAAAAATACATTTTAAGTTTAATTATAATGCCACATGTCCACAATTATTCAGGCAATGAACACATTATACAGAGAGTAAAGAACATTTACATTGTGAAAAAACATCACTGAATTCAGTCTAGCATGAGTGTAAGCACTCTAAAAAAGCTATAGTTATAATAAGTGAAGCTGTCTGCAGTGTATAATGAATGAATCTATGAAAATATGAATATAATGAACATGTACGTCTGCGTTTTGTTGTTTCTGAGAACAGAATCACCACAGAGACTTGCATCATTAGTTTCCGAGCTGTATGCGAGGTCTCGCTTAAACCACTGTAGCCTAATCTAATCTATTAACTACACAAATCATAACGTTTTAGGCAAGTACCGTATTATGTCATAAAATATTTTAATAAGACTGAATTTGTATTTAACCTGATAACATGTTTAATAAAAATACATTTTAAGTTTAATTATAATGCCACATGTCCACAATTATTCAGGCAATGAACACATTATACAGAGAGTAAAGAACATTTACATTGTGAAAAAACATCACTGAATTCAGTCTAGCATGAGTGTAAGCACTCTAAAAAAGCTATAGTTATAATAAGTGAAGCTGTCTGCAGTGTATAATGAATGAATCTATGAAAATATGAATATAATGAACATGTACGTCTGCGTTTTGTTGTTTCTGAGAACAGAATCACCACAGAGACTTGCATCATTAGTTTCCGAGCTGTATGCGAGGTCTCGCCAGAGTTTGAATGGATTGGGGAGGCAAGTAACATGTCATGTATCGTGGTCAATTCAAGTGTCTCAAGCCCCTCAAACAGTTGGATGAGTAAGGGTCCGGCCCAGAGCTCTATTAGGAGCTGCATAGTGCAAAGGACTTAGAAGCAGTTGTACGCTCTGTGGGCAGCTTGGTGATCCTAGATCATCATCTTTGTCTGACACTCACAGAGATGCACAGTTCTGTGAAAACCTCTCTCATGGACACCTGTGATGTTCTTTCACTGTCTTTGTGTTTTGGGTGCTTCACAGCGCACTCTGCTCATGCTGTTCACCGTGACACTAAGAAGCACATTTCCCCTGTTGTGTTACATCCCAGATTGTTTTGACTTCTCAAGTGATGCCGAGTTCAGCCTCACCATCCTCCCCGGCCGACACGCCCCACAGGACCCAGCGGCCAATCACAAGCCAGGAGGGAGGGGCTCTCTCACAGTCACACATGAGGGTAGGCAGGGGGGTGGAGACAGATCATGGAGGCGGGCTTTTCCCCTTAGAATCACCCAGTGGCCTCGCTTCCTTCAGGGCACCTCAGCTTTCCCGGAATGTACCTCCCCAAAACCCCTGCGAGTCATGCTGACCCTGGTATGATGCACACGAGTGAAGCGCGAGGACGTTACTGAGAATCCAGACATAAACACCAGTGAAAGTCATTCATTCTCATTGTCGAAAAGCTTCTTACAAAACTGCTTCTGTTGACTTACATTACTGAAATTAAATTTCCACTACTGTAGCTGAAATCTCAGCTCATCGCATACACACTTCTGAAAAGGTTTCTCGGTCACTGCTTAAATCCCTTTTATGCAGACGTGAAGTTGATGAGACACTGTTTCTAGAGGTGTAAATAGTACAATTATACCGACAATTGCAATTACTGATGTGGCAATTCTCTTAACACATTTCATTGTAAATTTCATTTGGTAATGATTAACAATTTCATTACCAAAGATAAAAAATAAGAGCTTTTGCAAATTCATTTTGAACAGTTTACCTACTTTAAATATTCTTCTTTTAATATTTGCAAATGGATGAATGAAACAGTTGCAAGTAATTTTCAACTAATAACTATAGGTTAAGTCAGTTATAAAGAACTAAGACCCACATTACAAGCAATAAACAAAAAGTGCTTTTAGTGTCAAAGTTGTCAAAACGACTTTTTGTGCTACAAACCAGTACGTTTATGATTACAATAATTGACTAAAATAATATTAATTTACATTTAATCATTTAGCAGATGCTTTTTTCCAAGGTGACGTACAAATAAGGGCAACAGAAGCAATACGATCGCGCATATGATAAATATGATAGCAAATACCAGTTTGCAACATTAAGCAGCATAACAGACTGTTTACGTTCAGCTAAAATAACTGGAACCCGATGACACTGGAAGCCTCACGCATTCAGGGTTAAAATCTGCCGCAGTTGCCATTACAGTAAAAATAAGTGGATTGACTACAGGGGCTCAGTCTGTAGGCTCATTCACATTAATGCCCAGATCTGTTTTGACATTAGATATCTTATCCTGTCTGTCAACAGTCCATTAAGACATAACTGATTTATATTCATATTATATTCATGTATTCAGCGGCATTATTAATGTCTTCCGACGGCATTTGGAAGGGAGAACACTGAAATGCTGCTAATGTAATGTTTTGCAAGCAAAGAGAGTAGTTGAGGCTGATGACAGACTTTTATTCAATCAAACAAGCACAAGATGATGATACTGGAACAGCAAGAACTTAACTAAACTGCGAAACTAGACACAGGTGAACATAATCAGAAACCAAGGAAATACAGGAACAATACACCACCAGAACAAAACACAGAGAACAAGTCCAGGTTTCCCACAGCACATATTGGGCTTGGGGCTGTCATGGGGGAAGTTTATGAACCAAATTATTTACTGCGGCATCACAACACCACTTCACTGTGATTTAGCAATCCTCTTGTAAAACTATTCATACTAAGCCTTTTAATTAATAATTGTATTACTTAATTTGCTTTAAAATAAATGCCTAAAATAAGCTTTGAGGTAAAAAAAAAAAAGACATCTCTTATTCAAACAGGAGAGCAGATAGAGTGATGACAAATGCAAAGCTGAAAAAGACATTTGAGATATGTTGTTGTTTGGCTATTAGCTATTTTATTCTCAAAATGTGCACAAAATATTTATATAAAATAAAATATATGTATCTCCTTGATACTATTTGGTAAAAAAGCAGAAGCATTTCAGTGATTGCAATAGGAGCAGAAATCTGTGCAGTGAATTAATGCACAGTTTATGTCAGTGTCTTGATTTCACTCAGTGTTTGTAAGAGGCTCTTCAACAATCGAGGTCCTCACAGCCTGTCTCGTTCACCTGCATGGACAGCCGTCTCATCCTTGCACTGGTCATTTCCTCATGCTATCGACTGTTTTCACCGACTGAGCATGCGAAATGTGTCTGATTATTCTGTGTCCTGGAAAACGTCCCTAGGTTAACCATGGTTCTCTGAGGGAACAAGATGC